TTTCTCGTGGAGCGTAAGTTTAGACATGCTTTCTTATTTCTTCTTTTATTTCTTTAAATCTGTCCTCCCCTTATTATGGTGTCGGAAGAAACTCAATTCTTATTAAGGATGTGCATGAGTCGAATTGAACCGAATTTTTTGAAAAACCAAACCGAATTGGTTTAAATGGTTCAGTTCGGTTCGGTTCAAAACTGATTCGGATCGAAAGTAGTTCGGTTCGGTTTGGAACCGGTTTGGGTCGACCCTATTTTGAAAAGAAAAAAAAATGAAAAATTTAAAAAATAAAGTTATAAAAATCAATTTGGTTTGGTTTGAAAACGGTTCGGTTCGGTTCAAAAAATGGTTCGGTTCGGTTCTTAAACTGGTTCTAAAAATCAGTTCGGTTCATGAACTGATTTTTAAAAATCGGTTATTTTAAGGGCGGTTCGGCTCGATTCATGATTTGGTTCAATTTTTTGGTTATTTTGCACATCCTTAATTCTTATTACTCATTTTGTCTCATAGTATATATGGGAAAAATGTTTGTCATTTTAAATGACAGAAAGTTATGTCATTTTAAGAGAGATACAGACACAGAAAATTTGAATTTTAAATTAATAAAAACCACTCACTTTCTCTCTCCCATGATTTCTATTTTTCTGTGTCTATCTCTCTCTTAAAATGACATAACTTATGTCATTTAAAATGACAAACACCAAACCCTATTATATATTGATGGTGAATGTTTGTTTCTAAGGAGTCGTAGTATCTATTGACGGTGAATGTTTGTTTTTAAGTTGTCCTTGGTTCAAATTCCACATGACTTTCTCTCCATCAAATTTATAATAAAAATTTGGCAACTAATTAATGTGAGTAATTAAAAAACTAGCTAAATGCATACAATATTTTTTTTGTTTGCTTAACAGGGAAAGAGGATCCTGCCTGCAAAGATTCATGCCCGAACATTAAAAAAGTGCATGATGCTCAGTTGTATCAGCAAGACTGTCTTAGTATGCTATTTTTTTTTTTTTGGTAAGCTCTTAGTATGCTATTTAATTAGTACTTAAAAGGCTTGAACTCGATCTATTATTTTGGCTTCCAAAAATAAGATGAAAATTGATATTTATGGTGTCTTATGTGTTTAATTATCCAAGGGAGGTAACAACTAGACCCGTCATACCTGACGCCGTCCCAGTGGGGATTGCAACGCCCAATACTTAAACCATCATTAATATTGCGTTATTTTCTTAGTCTCGTCTCTTTTCAATAGCCTCTGCTTATTGTTTTTATGTACTAGTAAGTAACCATCTTAATTTAAAAATGAGATTACTGTTTTTTATATTATAGTAAATAATTTTATCTCATATACGCACATAAAAATATATGGAGTCCATACTTTCTCTTTTTCTCTTTCTCTTCTCATCACATGGACACATATGAGCCCACACACTTTTATGTATGTATAGAAAATAAATTTATCTCCTACAATATAATAAACATTAAACCCTTTAAAAATACGTACTAATTTTTGTTTTTTAGTGACTCTAACTTTTTAACACACGCACAGTTATATATTAATGAAAATCATATTTTAATGTTACATAAGATTACTCTCTCATGTTGTACTCACATCGAGTAATGTGTCATTCTTTTTTCTCTTTTTTTAATCGGTTGACCCCACTTCATTTGTGTTAGTGGGAGATAGAACTTATCTCCTACTTTATGAGAAAAGTTATTCCCGATATTAATAGAAATTAATTATTCTCATGTTATACGATATAATTTTATCTCTTACATACATACAAATAAAAGTATACGAAACCCTTTTTTTCTTTTTCTTTTTCATGTAGCCTCGTATAAACCTCATATACATACATGTGTATGTGTAGGATACGAGGAACGTTAATTGCGGCAAATAAAGGCCCACTTTCTAGAATCTTAACTCTTTCTTGAGATTCAACATCCATTAAATATCCATTTGCAAATTACAATATTGTCATCGCCAGGTACAAGGGAGCAATCACTTTTTTTCCTTCCTTTTCTTAATCTCAATTGAGTCAACTTTGTCAACAAACTTTGCATTTAATCTCTATTATTTTTCTTCTTCCCTTATCCTATATTTTATTTTAATGTTAATAATTGTGACAACAGTCCCATAAATATAATTGACTAACCTCGCTTGACTCGATTCACCGTAAACCAAACACACCAAGAACCCTCATCTGATTCCTTGTTCTTTTCTTAATTATTTAGTAAAAACTAGTTTAATGCCCAAAAAATTTTCTATTCCTCGTGATTATAACTTATGCTGATGCTTGGTGTTTCAGATCCCCATTCCTGCAACCTTAATTTGTGAATGATAATTCATACGTGTATTCATTTTCTAAACCAATAAATAAGAACTTATTGCTGCAATTTTATTTTTATTGGTTGATTAGTGTAAATTTAAAAAAACACTTAAAATAAATATAAGGATTAACTTTAATATTTCTTAGTTACATAATTTTTTTTTAAGTTTTTAAAATATGAACTAGTGATTTTTCAGTTTAATAATTATGATATTGCATTTTTATCTCTCATATAAGTATGATTATAGTCAACCTTTTACAGTAATATAATGTTGAAATCATGGATATTTTGGTATAGAAGAAAAAAAAAGGAATAAAAATTGAATAATTATAACCACGTGATATGGAGACCAAATATTAATTCCTTTCTACCAAACAAAATATTAATTCTTACTTATATTAAATAGACACCTTAAAATTATAAAATTATTTTAAGATATAATATTAATAGTATCTAATATTTTTAAGATATTCTAACATTTTTTACAATCACACTGCTTAATTATTTGATACTTGTTCCCAAGTCCAATTTCCGTATGTATATATATATATATATATATATATATATATATATATATATATATATATATATATATATAAAAGACGGGTATTTGTTATACACAATCATATCAACCTAGTATACTCCCATGGTACTTTTATAATTATAAGGTCTCCCTTCTATGGTATACATTTAACGTAATTGAACTCTTCATCCTAATTTCATACTAATTTAAGTGATAGGGTCTCTACCTAAACATCACCCCATTATATCAACGGAGCGCCACTTTTAACCACCGTATAAAGAATATTCAGAAAAATGAATTCACGTCTTTCAAGTAACCACAATAAAATAAATAATAAGTATTATAATGGGAGTAGGATATTGTAATAACCATGTTATTACCAATTAATTAATTTTACCGTTAGATCAATTATATTGATCCAACAGTTATATTTATTTTCATCTTTATATGGTTATGATTTCCCATATTTAATGTGAAAGCATTAAATATGAGAAATCATAATCATAACAAGGTGAAAATAAATATAAAATATTACATATGGGGAATCATAACCATACAAAGATAGAAATAAATATAATCGTTGGATCATATAATCAATCTAACGGTGAAATTGATTGGCAGTAACATTGATAGTAACCCTAATTAGTTGTTACAATATCCTGCTTCGTTATAATGTGTTTATATAAATAACAATTCTTTAATCATTATATCAACCAGTGTTTTAAAACTCGGACCGGACATCGACTCGGTCGAGGTAATGGGTCACTGGTTCAACCGGGTTGAACTGGATTTATTGTTCACATATTAAAAAAATATAAATATATTACTTATATTAAAAATTCAGATAAGAGAACTATCAATATATATATATCCCTCATTTTTCATGTAAAATATTTCTAATTTGGTTCATCAAAAATAGTTAATTGGCTACGCTATTATAAAATATGGATATTTAGTTTAGTAAAGATCATTGTCAATCTGTTAACAAAAACTTGATTTTTTAAATCAATAGAGCTCTCAAAATATTTCCATTGGTTTTTTTCTCTGAAGCACATAGGTAGGTAATGACAACAACAATAATTAATAATAATAACTTAAGCAAAGTTAGAACAAAAAATTGCAACAGAGAAAAGACAAAATGCTGGGTATTGATTAATAAACCAAAATTATCAAACCAGTTGTGGAATGAGAGCAGATTGAGTGACCAGAATCTCAATGAGAAATAGATAACAACGATTTACTTGTTCAATTTCAGCCACTGACTTTCGTCTTGCAATTGGCTATGCAGCCTTAAGAGTTAAGACAAAAAAGAGAGATATGAGAGTGATGCCAATCTCAGCTAGTGAAGAACGACAATCGAAGAGATATGAGATTGATTTAGATTTTTTTGGATAAAAGTATGAAACTCAAAGAATGGCAAACGTCATCGTTCATTTTACAGCACTTATTTTTTTTTTTTTTTAAAAACCTTTGACCGGTCCAAACGAGGTCCCTGTAACTCGCCGAGTCACCGAGACCTGGCTGAGTCGACCGGTCCAAACCGGGTCAACTGCGTAACCAGTCCAAAGGGTAGCTCGAACCAGGGAACCCATCGAGTCACCGATACCCGGGTCGACTCGGCCGATTCGAATCAGTTTTTAAAACACTGATATCAACTGTCATTAATATAGTAGCATAAAGAAAAGAAAAACACTGTCTAACTATTTTTTAAGTGAATTTTTTCATGTGTTAATTTTTTTTTTTTTGGTATATCATGTTAATTAACACATGAGAATGGTTAGGATCGTCTCATAAGATTAACCCATATTAAATAACATATAAAATGATCTATTATAGGGATATTCATCAACCGATGCAAACCTATTCAAATTATGGTAACTGAACAGAAAAATCAATAATCGAATTAACCAAAAATCAAAAACTACATGTTTTAATTGAATTGTATCGATTTGGTCGGTGAAAATCGATCGAAACCAATCCAATCCAATCCATTCGCTCACATTTTCTAGTAACAATCTAATCCTTAAAGTCAATAGAAATATACAAACTTTCCAATTATGTCCATTTATTATGTTTAAGTTTTGTCTTGGGTCATAACTTATAAGCAAATGTCGTGAGGTGTGCATTATTAATTCAGACCCGACTTCAGTGGCACACAATACGTGAATCCTGGTCCCCTTTGTGGCCTCTCTAGCGCGTGGAACGAAACTCATCCTTATATTACATGTAAAACGCACACTAGCCCTTACCAATTTTCCTCCTCCACAATCAGAATCTCTCTCGATCTCCCTCGCCCTGTTCATAAAAATAGAAAGGTCTGTTCGCAGATGCGATGCTTCCCTTTCTTCCACTTCCAGATTCAAATCATGCTATTTGCTTCCTTTCTCCAATTCACGTCAACAATTTTCTCTCTACCTACCTTTTATATCTGATTGAATTAACATAATTCAAAATATTTCCTCTCTTATTCCATGTTTAATCTCTTACATATGTATATATATTGTAAATAGTTTTTATGCATGTTTTGATTAGTAATTAACTCAGTTCTGCAGAAGGAAGACATGGCAGGAGAGTCATACGAGGATGCCATTGCAGCGCTGTCGAAGCTTCTCAGGTGAAGGAACTATCTTAACTTCTAAGTTTCTATACACAACACAACAAAACAAACACCACCGCTTTCAGTTCTCTAATTATGGGTTTATTTTTAGGCAAAAGTTATTTTTTTAAGGAAAATATATATATTTTTATTAGAAAATCTGTTTGGATATCTATTTCTTAAAAAAGTAGAAGCCATAATAAAAATCAAATTTTTTTTTTAAAACTAAAAATTTTAACTTTTTTTAAAAATTAAATATTTTTTTCAAAACTCAAATATTTCTTTAAAAATTTAAATAACTTTAACTTTTATAAAAAAGATTTCTAAAATAAGTAAATTATAAAAAATACTTTTTTAAAAAGTTTATCCAATCTGGACCTAAAGACAGATTAACGTTATTACTTGTCCTTTGTCGTCAGTTTCCTCCGTCATTTCCCATGTTACCAAACAAAGCGCGTTTTTTTTTTTTTTTTACGAGGAGACATATTGGAAGTGGGCCCCACCTTACCCGTGGGGCCCACACACCCCACCTCTGACGCGTTTGTTATGACTTTCGACTATGAGTTAAGTTTTATTGTTTTTTTATTATTTTTGGCAGCGAGAAAGCGAGCCTCGGGGATGTCGCCGCCGCAAAGATCAAGCAGTTAACGGCGGAGCTGGATGCCGCCGGGTCGAAGCCCTTTAACCCGGATGAGAGGATCCGAACCGGGTTCGCCCACTTCAAGAATGAGAAATTCCAGTACGTATTTATGGTCTTCACCTAGTTCTATTCTACTAGTGACAGCTGCTGTTATTTTTTCGCTTTGAAATTTCACTCCTGACACCACGGAAACCGAACCTTCTCGTTGTCTGGTTAGAATACGCTGCTCTTTCACTGTTTTTTTCTTGTGAAATACCGTAACTGCCCCTTATGGGGTTTATCCTTTTTTATCTTAAACGTTCCCATGAAAATGGAAGGTGTGGGTCCCGTCTTAAATGTACTTATCTTAGTTAAAGAGTGATAAGCGACAGTATAAGTAGTCCTTTAGCTATGAATTGATGGAGAGAAGGTGACATCAAGATAAGTACGATGACCAGTCTATAAGGTTATTATTTATTATTTTATTTATTTTATTTAAACGAAAAGGTGATTTGCTTTGTTTTTTGAGTCTTCTGTTTAGTACCTTCTAGAGGGGTGCTAAAGCAAATGTTTTTATTTAATTTGGATAATTTATTTACTTTGGAATTTAACTGCTGAAGAAATTACTTTCTCTGAGTGGTTGGTTGTCCTTTTTTTTTTTTTTATTACAGGAAGAATCCGGAATTGTATGACGAACTTGCCAAAGGCCAGAGCCCAAAGGTCAGCCATGTCATTAGAGTCACCACTAACTTGGTCTTCATAATTGCCGTCCATTCGGCTATCCATTCGATCAAATTGACTTTCTCTAAAACTCTGAAGAAAAATAAAAAATGAAATAATTAGAATCAAACAAAATTAAATGAATGAAACGACATTTTTGAGTTTAATTATGACGTTTTTTTTCCCTTTTTAATTGTTATTGTCAAAAATAACGCATGCGTTAACTATTATTATTCAAGTAGACCCCATGTGCATCCCACATACAAGTGGTCCTAATCGTTTTTATCTTGAAATGGTCTTCTTCATTAACATCATCTGTCTAATTATATATAAATTGCAATCCAATATATATATATATATATATATATATATATATATATATGATTGCAATTTTATGTTATTTGAATCAATTATGGTCCACTAAGCATTGACCTTAATGCTATTCATAAAATAAATATCAACTTTTTAAGATGCATAAAGTATTGTTAATTACTGATTATAGTAATAATGTATTATTGTCCCACACATGCAGTTTATGGTGTTTGCTTGCTCGGACTCAAGAGTTTGCCCATCTCATGTTCTGAATTTCCAACCTGGTGAAGCCTTTGTGGTCCGAAACATAGCCAGCATGGTTCCACCATATGACAAGGTTTAAATTGTCTATCAAATGTTTGACTTTGTCATGTAACAATACTAAAAGAACAACTAAAAAGTACAGAGATTGGATGTCATAAACATAAACCTACTTAAAAAAAAAAAAAAAAAAAAAATTGTCGTCAAAATTTCTCGGTTTAATTTGGTATTTCAAATCCGCAAGTTTGACTCGTCTTTCTATTATGACAGACGAAGTATGCAGGAGCAGGGGCGGCCATTGAATATGCAGTCTTACATCTAAAGGTAAATAAATAGCCGTCCTTTATTCCGAGCATTCCACTCTCTTTTACAATATATGATAAGATTCTAACAAACGGTGATAACTGAAAACGAAAGAGTTTCGATTTAATCACGTATCATTTTTAAAAGAAATTTAAATATTTTTATTCTGATCCATCCAACACTCCATTTGTTCCATAACTGACTTAAATAATACAAGCTTATAAAAATACTAGAAGCCAATTTGCTTTAAAAAAAGCGACTAGGGTTAACTCAATATATATATATATATACAAATTACACTAAGTACAATCGGTCGTACACTGCATGATTAAAGTATGACCGGTCATATTTAGTGTAGTTTGTAAGAGTTTGTAAATATAATATGTTCATATATATATATATATATATATATATATATATATATATATATATATATGAAAAGTATGCACTTTCCTATAATAACATAGATCATGCATGTGAAAAGAAGAACGTTTGGTTGTGGAGAAGTTGCCTTTTTGCCTAATTATTTGTTGGGATCCACACCAATGTCATGTCCATTCTTTTACATTATAAAGCACTGCTTAGTCAGGAAAATGTTTTTTTTTAGATAAACATAAAGAGTGCAAAAATGGTTCAGTTTGAAGCATAATTCTTGAGCTAAGGAATGAGCGAAGTTCGCCAACACCACGCATGCAACTATATATATTTATTTCCGGTATCTACTTTTTCCACATTAAGTTGTAGTCGTCGAATTGTAACCCAACACCTACCCACCTCACTTTCCATTCAGAATCATAAAGAAAATGAAAAAGGGAAAAAAGGGGAGAAAGTGGATAGATTAGAATTAGTGGTGCGTGAATGGATGAACAGAATGTCTTTCTTTAAAACTCGAATTGCCTTTTTCTTTTTCTTTTCTTTTTTCTTTTGTTCTTTTATTTTATTTTATTTTTTGGTTCTAAAGGGAATGTCTTGCAGGTGGAGAATATTGTGGTCATTGGACACAGCTGCTGTGGAGGAATAAAGGGCCTCATGTCTATCCCAGATGATGGGACCACTGCAAGGTATAAGTCTACATTATTATTGGCTCGATCTCAAAAAGGAAGGGTTAAATAATTTTGCCAAATGATGAGTACAGAAAGTACATATGATATATAGCCTTAAAAAAAGGCACATATGATGAAAATCTTAAACTATTTTGGTAGCTTTTCAGGACTTCCAAGTATCTTGGTTCACAGTTTACTTTTTTCACAGTCCTAAAATCTTAAGTAGTGTTATCACTCCCATGCCAGTAAATAAACAGTTTTCCCCCCTGTTTGCATCTTATTAGAGGCAACTGAAAAACATGATAAAGCAATAAGGGGGGCTACTTTTGAGAAATGTTACTTTGGGCACACACAGACCAACAACATATAATTCACGTTTTGTCCAGCATATTAGGGGAACATGTGTAACGTTTATTATTTTACTGTTCCCCTGTCTTTATTTGTCAAATGGTAATGTTCATTGGTCGTAAAAAGGAGAGATGTTTTTACAAGAAAAATTATCATATAAATGAGATTTTTGGTGAAGGATTGTTAGAATATCATCAACGAGTAATTGGATTTGTTGTACTACTACATAGTGATTTCAACGAATTTAACTGTTTCTCTAGTTAAATCCTTGTCAATAAAAGAAAAATAACGCGCATATAATGACCTTGAAAATGAAAATCATTTCCTTCCTCTGTGATCATACAGTGACTTCATAGAGCAATGGGTCCAAATTTGTACTCCAGCAAAGTCCAAGGTTAAAGCAGAAGCAAACAATTTAGGTTTCTCGGAGCAGTGTACCAACTGTGAGAAGGCAAGTTACCCTTTTTACTTAAAGGGCTCTCTCTATGTCCTAAATCACTTAATTATTTGGTGACATAATTTGTTTTCTAATAAGCTGTAGTACATTGCATAGCGCAAGGGCTTAAATTAAATGGCATTGTTATGCTATCTTGTATTAAAAGGTTTTTACTTCATCAATGCAGGAAGCTGTGAATGTATCGCTTGGGAACCTATTGACTTATCCATTTGTGAGAGATGCGGTTGTGAAGAAAACGCTTGCTTTGAAAGGTGCACATTATGATTTTGTTAAGGGCACCTTTGAGCTGTGGGATCTGGACTTCAAAATCTCACCCTCTGTATCCGTTTAAGATCACTAAAGCACCAAACAGAAGTGTTCTTAGCTCTGTTGTGCACGATGTACATGACTCCTTTTGCAAGTGTTTTCCAATTGTACAAGCCCCTGTTCCCCCTCTTTCTTTTCCCTCAGTCCCCAAAAATAATGGTCTTTTGACCTACTCATTTTGTTTTGCACCGTTTTCTATTTTATGCTGTGGTTTTCTTCTAGCAAACTTGTAGACTGATCTATCCATTAAATTTTAGCAATGTTTTTGGTAGGAAACATTTTAAAGAACGGATTTAATTCATCTAAGACCCTCTTGAGGCATTTGGCTGAGGTGATGTCAGACATTTATCATGGACTATGGGTCTAGAATATCATGCAGAATGATACAAGGCATTTAGGAATTATGATGTTGGACGTTTCTTGTATTTTGAAGGATTTCAAAAGCTTGCATGAACACATAAGAAGATGAATCAAAATTTCCTAAGGTTAGGATGTTTAGCATGTGGCAACATGTCCTTAGAGTCCCACCTTGGGTTATCATGTTTAGTTTAGGGACAGCTGCTGCTCTTGTGCTATTGTTATAGAGCTTAAACTGTCCTTAGGTGAATGCCAGAACCGCAACATTGGTTTGCTGCAATTTTTATTTATCTATCTAGGCATAAAACGATCTAGTAACTTTACAGTTCCTTTGATCCTTCATAATATTATGTGCTTCAAAGTACATTGTTTGAACTTTGTACTGCATCACAACTAAGTAGACACCAATTTACCCTCCTTCTGGAATGACCTCATAGACATTAAGATTGGCAAAAAATAAATAAAAATATTGCAATTAAAAAAATTACAGCATTAATGTCATTTTTAAAATATTCACGGATGTAATGTAATTAATTGGGCATAAAATTGGGCGCAATTAGCTGCCCACAACATTGTGCGCAACTAGTTGCATGGCAGCTCCGTGTGACTTGTGCATAGTGCTGTGCCAACTTGAAAAATTAGTCTGGGTATTGATGAGAATCACACATGTTAAGGGAAAATTGTTAACCAGGTGACAACAAAAAGGGGATATCTTTTTCTCTCAGGTTAACACGGTTAGATAATGGAATGAAAATGAAAATGAAAATGAAATAGAAATGGGTAAAGCAATTGTTATGCAAAAAAGAAAAGAAAATGGGCTTCCCAATGGTCAAGAGCATACTTTTACTCACTCCTTTCATCACACCTTGGAAATACACCCCACATGCTACTACAAAAAGCTAGGTGCTCGAAAAAGACACGCTTACCAAGCACAACAAACGAGGCAACACGTCCAAATACTCTGTTTTTTTATAGGATGAAATTAATCTTATGTTGCATAAAATAGTATATCTCATCTATGATGCATGGATATTGACACGGGATATGACATACGACGACACGTTAATTTTTAAAAAATGTCATATTTCGACACGTTGGGACACGTTTTGATATTAAATAAAATTTTTATATATATAATATAATTTATATTTAATACATATAAGAGTTCATAATAAGTCATATAACTAATCAAATATTTAAATTTCATAACATAAATATAAATATAAATATTTTTTTGTACTTTGTTAATTTTTCATATCATATTTCATAACAGAAAAAAATTAATTTATAAATTATTATTATTTATTTAGTTAATAAAATAAAATTAAGAATAAAAAAAAACTTGTCCGAGCGTGTCCGAGCGTTGACCGCGTGTCGGAAAAGGTTGATTGTATGTCCAAAAAACGTGTCAGAACATGTCGGAGAGTTAACCGCGTGTCTTCAAATGTTGATCGCGTGTCCGACACACAAAATTTTGAAAATTTGTTGTGTCCGTGTATTGGAGTATCTCATGTTGTGAAACAAAATTAAGGTGAGATCCATTAAAAAAAATCAAAATGGGTCCCACCTTGATTTTATTTTACAACATGAGATACACTATCTTATGCAACATAAGTTTAGTTTTACCTCTTTTTATATTGGCCAATTGGTTCATTCTTATCTTGCCCCAGCCAAAAAGGAGCTCACAAACAGATTCTCCTCCAATCAGTCTACACTAGATCAATGGTCATCACCTTATCCAATCATTCTCAGCAACTCCATGACCTCTTCTATATACCGCTTTAGTGATTGTTCCTTTTCCAACCTCAAATCCTAGTTGAATTTGCTTCATCCACCACCAAGTGGACCGAACAGTGACCATTGTGCCACTGTTCCAAGACTTTTTTACTTAAATGTCACGCCTATGAACTTATTTTCCAAACTGCCACGAAGACAAGTTCACCCATAGTAGTAGCGAACTCAGTGTGTATAGGTGTCACATTTCTGGTGGACACGTAGTTCGCTACTGATATAAGCGAACTTAGTTTGCTGATGTGGCTACCTAGTTCGCTACTACCAATAGCGAACTAGATGATCAAAATATACTCCAACTAAAAACAAGACACGTGTCAGTCTCTCCCAAGTTTGCTATCTATGTCAGCGAACTAGGTGACCTTTTGTTCCATTGGTAACCGTGCTTTTTTTTGAAGTGGCTTTATTTTATTGCCCTTTCTCTCTCTTATTTCAAAAATTATCTTTTGTTCCATTGGTAATCGTGTTTTTTTTAAGTGATTTTATTTTCTTGCCCTTTTTCTCTCTTCTTTCAAAAATTACCTTTTGTTTCATTGGTAATTGTGCTTTTTTTTAAGATGCTTTATTTTCTTGCCCTTTCTCTCTCCTATTTCAAAAGTCCATGCGTCCTTTCTCTCTCTCGTTAGCCACTCTCTTGTTTGAAAATTTATGCATAATAGAGATCTCTCATCATGTTTTTTCAAGACTTGCTTTTGAAATCTCAAATTTTTTTTGAAGACATGCTTTTTTAAAATATTAAATCTTTTGTCTCTTGTTTTTTGCATTACAATTTTTTTTTCCAATATGAGTTTCATGCGCTTTTTGTTGAGATAAGAGTCCTTTGAAGCTGAATTTTTTTTTTAAAGAACCGAGTTATAAACTTCAAAGGAAGGAAGAGAAAGGCTAAGGACGGATAGAGAAAGGAGGGACATGCGTGGGAATGAAAAAAAAATTATTACACCTAGTTCGCTGGTATGTCCAGCGAACTTGGGAGAAGTTGCCACGTGTCATTTTTTTGTTCAGAGTATACCTAGTTCGCTAATGGTTGTAGCGAACTAGGTAGTCACGTCATCAAACTAAGTTCGCTTGTGTCAGTAGCGAACTACGTGTCCACCAGAAATGTGACACCTCATCACACTGAGTTCCCTACTTTTATGGGCGAACTTGCCCTCGTGGCAGTTTGGGAAATAAGTTCATAGGCGTAGCATTTAGGTAAATAAGTCTTGGAATAGTGGCACAATGGTCACTGTTCCCAAGTGGACGACCTTCACGTTTTTATATGCACACGACAATGTCACATGTTTATTTCACATGATATTGTGTGCAACTCACACAACACTGCCACGTGTCTGTTGCACACGATATTGTGCGCAAGTAGTTATGCCTCAATTTGTGTGCAACTAATTGCATTATATCTGTACATATTTTGAAAATGGCATTAGTGCCATAATTGTTTTTTAAAAATGTAAATTTTTAATTTTTTTTCATTAAGAATGTCAACATTTACTGTGCGTTAAGTTTAGGGATGTGCATGGGTCGAAGCGAACCGGTTTTTTTGAAAAACCGAACCAAATTGGTTTAAATGGTACGGTTCGGTTCAAACTGGTTCGGTTCAGAAGTGGTTCGGTTCGAAACTGATTCAGAAACGGTTCGGTTCGAAACCGGTTCGGGTCGACCCTCTTTTGAAAAGAAAAAAAATTAAAAATTAAAAAATAAAGTTATAATAATCAATTTGGTTCGGTTTGAAAACGGTTCGGTTCGGTTCATAAACGGTTCGGTTCGGTTCATAAACTGGTTCTAAAATCCGGTTCGGTTCATGAACTGGTTCTTTAAAAACCGGTTCGGTTCATGAATTGGTTTTAAAAACTGGTTATTTAAGGGACGGTTCGGTTCATGGTTCGGTTCAGTTTTTTGGTTATTTTGCACACCCCTAGTTAAGCCTATCTGTGTCTTTATGCATGAACAATGGGTATGTGTGATTTGTTTTTTTTCTCTTCTAAACTTATATAAATTTTGAAACCTAATTTTGAAAATAAGAAAACAATAAAACTAGTTTGAAAATTAGATTTAGAGTTGACAAGAAGTTGGATTTATTTACAAAAGCGTATTAATGAACCTTCATAATTGTAAATTATCATTGTAAAATAATTTAAAATAAAAAAGAAGTTGAGTTTATATATGAAAATGCTATTAATGAATACTCATAATTACAAATTGCCACTGTAAAAATAATAAAACCAAAAAAATAAATTTTGAGAACATCTCTAAGGTATGTAAAGAACCATTTTAACCTAAAAATTTAAAATGTTGGGTGAGGTTAAATTAATAATTTTATATTTCTCCAACACGTCCTCTCACACAAGAGCCTATTGGTCTTGAAGGGTGGATGATGCATCAGGTACAACCTGCTTATACTAAGAAACTTATGTCTGCTCTGATATCATGTAAAGAATTATTTCAACCTAAAAGCTTAAATTGTTGAGTGAGGCTACATGAATAGTTTTATATTTCTATAAGATGTCCTCTCACACACGAGAGCCCATTGAATTTGAAAAGTGGATAATGCTTCAAGTCCGGCCTACTTGTGCTAAGAAAGTCCACAATATTTAAGTAGTGAGGATCGATCTTGTGACCATTTAGTCACAAAGGCTCTAATACCATGTAAATAATCATTTCAATCCAAAAACTTAAACTGTTGGGTAAAACTACATTAATGATTTTATATTTCTCTAACATTCTCTAATTTTAATTTGTAAACTAAAAATTAGTTACTATTTTCATAAAATAATCATTGTAAAACAAGTTTTTTTTTTGTTTTTTATTCTAAAAACTAACAATTTATTTTTAAAAATAGAAGGGAAAAGTTCACCGATACCCCTGTGGTTTACTCCAGAATTACTTATGCCCTTGTGGTTTTTTTCTTATCACATATGTCCCTGTGATTTGTAAAAAGGGTATGTTTTTTTATCACATATACCCCTATGGTTTCTTAGTTTTTACAAAGCACATGGGCATATGTGATCGAAAAAAAACTACAGGGGCATAAATGATTCTGGAGTAAACTATAGGGGCATTGGTGAACTTTTCCCAAAATAAAAATCAAACAGGCCTTTTGGGCAACAAGGACAAGGAGGCTTCATATGTAAATAAACCAGAGAGAAAATGCCCATAATAAAGGACATACATTCTGGAATTGATGAATAA